AGGTCAAATTAAAGAACTTAATAAAACATAAAGAATACTTTAACTGCTTTATAAATCGAAAATTGGTATGAAAATGTCACTTTATAGAACTCTATAAACCTATATTATTTTTTATGAATAAGGCCATTAGTTTTTTTTTTAATTTAAAATTTTTGTCCATTGTATAGGGTGATTTGAAATTTTGTGAAATTAAAAATATGCACTAAGCGAGAGTGCTCTTCACGGCTTCACGATTTTAGTTGAAATACGGCACTCGGATCTCTTATAACTCTGACTAACATTTGGAGTATTTGTTAAGTTTTTGAAATTCAATTTTTTTGCGGGTTCACTTGTTTATATAAAAAAAAGGAGCAATTACATTGTAAGAAAATATTAACAAGTTGTCGTTCTGATATTTCAAACCCCTTAAAAAACCTGGGCTCTCCCCTGCCTCTCCAACCACTCAGGTGTGGTAACAGATGATTACCATTGACCACAGTGCCTTACCCACTACCACAATAGCACCAAAGCCATCTGCCGATACTATTAAAAAAAAACCATCCCTTTTTGCGATCCTCATTATCAACTACACCAGCCGTACAAAAATTTTCCTGCAACAATTTACCAGTTTTATTTTTTAGTTAAACTGCAAATCACCGTAAAATTGCTAGCCAACCGGAGCAGCCACAGTCAATCGACTTTTGATTTCTTCTTCTTCTCCTGCGTCTTCTGCTTGCTTAACCAACAATGGCATTATATAATTTTCAGGACATTGTTGGCTTCTCAGAAAATCTAGGAGAAAGTATCAAGGAAAAAGGAGAGAAACGGCGCTCGCAAAATTGAAGCAATACAAAGAAAATGAAGTGAATAAACCTCAGAGGACAGAGTCAATTTATGCAAATTGTTGCAGTTTTTCTTGGACATGTTTTGCAAGTGTACTCACTGGTTGTTGCTATTTGAGTTGCAGTACATCGAGTTGCTGCTTCGACTGCTACATTGTGTCGTGCATCATTTTGCCAAGCACTGAAGCGTTGACTGGCAAAATTTGAGCAAGGGTTGGACTCGTCCTAAGCTATGCAATTTTGCAGTCAATAAGTGGCGCTACAATGCCAACAACAACGACAAATGTGCTACTATCTAAGCGGCAGCGAGCAGAAAAAACTTGTTTGCCCAAGTATTTACGCAGAGCTTTTGGGGTAACATTTTTGCTGAATGCCATAAATTCATCTGACAGCAGCAGCCAATCTAATCCCGACACATGGTTTGACTCCCAGCACATTGTGCACTCATATTTGTGCGAGTCGTGCGAACGGCGTGGTAGCTGAGACATTGCCAGAAATTAGAAACAAAAGTAAAAATAAAAATTTTGACAATATTTCCGAAAGTTGAAAAGTTTGCGCAACAGCAAAATCGAAAAAATAACATGCGAAGTGTCACAAAACTGCCGGACAAGTCTCGTGGGTATGCAGCGAGGTACATGCTAGTTATTGCTAAATTGGCGAAAAATTTTTTTATAATTTTTTATTTTTTTTACATTTTTTACAAGCTAAAAATAACTGCTTGCGTATACGTAAATGCACTTCAATACTCTAGGCATGACCGTAAATCAATCGCAGTATGCAGATGTGGCGAAACTTGTAACCCACTCCATTCCTCACACAGTTGCTTTGGTAGTTGTTTTTTTTTTTTGTTTTCGGTTTTCGTGGCTCACATTTTAATTTGTGTTTTATGGCCACGCCGTTCAACAGTAGCTGTGCTAGTTATTGCCACAGATCGCTGCTAAAAAGGGGGAAAACAATTTTTTCAGCTACTCACGTTGACTGATAGTTTAGTGATGAATTGCAGCCAACTTGAGGGATTACTCGCTCGCGAAAGTAAAGTGAATTGGAAAATTTGAAGTCAACAAGTTGGAGAAGCGAAGAGAGTGGCTGCCTAGAGAATCTAGAGAACGACTTAAAGCAGTGTACATTTTTATCGTTGCAAATTTCGCACTCTTTTTTTTTCTCATCTGCCAATTCTTATGCCGAATTTCCACTAGTCATGGTATTCATGCCATTTAAAAAATATCATGTGGAAATCAACTTAGTGTCTATTTTTTGAACGTAATGACACGATTATTTTTTAATGCCCAACTTTGTCATTACAATTTTCGCCATTTAATGCATAGTGGAAATCCAGCATTAGGCTTAGGAAAACTGATAAACTCATAAAGGATGTACAAAAATTATTATTTTAGATAGTTCTTTAATTTAACATTTGAAAATCGGTCCGAAGAGAAGAGTCCTTCCTTTCCAGTTTCACAGTAGAATGGCAGAAGAATTATTTTCATGGTATCATACTGGATGAAAACTTGGTCCAAAAGGGTGGCACACTTATCTAAGACGATGCACCACTATCTTCAGTTTTGAACAATGAGCAAGATTCCATTCCATTTCGCAATGGAATCTTGCTCATTGTATTTAAAAGAAAACTTAAAAAAAGATATACTATAAAAAGTAAAAAATTCGTTTACTCGCACGCCTTAACTTAAAGGTCATATTATTTAAAAGTAATTAAATATTGGCGTGGAAGCTTTCTAAAAAATATTCTTTATGCACATACATATATTTTACTTTCTTCATTTGGTTAACGATTTTAGAATGAATTTCGAGTGTGTCAATAAAAATTGTTATAATGGAATTTTAGTTTCTCAAAAAAAAAAGTCATCTTTTAATCAATCTAATTTTTTTTTATCTGGTGGCACACTAGTTTTATTACACTAGATTCGTTCCTTTTGGAAAAAAGAATATTTTCACCGTTTAATTTTAAAATTTTGTAGTATGTAAAATTATTGAAATTAAAAAAAAATTGTAAAATTTCAAGAAATTCAAAACAGCTGCGACAGATATTCTGCATGGTGCCATTTTTTTAGTTTGGTTGTACACTCTTGAAACTTCACATTATTACAAAAAAATTATGATTTTTTTTTTAGTGACAATGAAAAAATGAGTAATTTCGGTACTTGCAAGGTGAACTAATATAAGGTGACAGCAGGGTTACAAAATCAAAATTTACATGTGTTTTTTTTTTGCTTCTGCGGCGTGAACTGTCAAAATCTGTAAGAGTGGTTGTGGAAATGCCTCTCTTGCCTACAAACAGAGTTTTTCTGGTCGCACAAATTTTCTAGTGGGAAACCGACCATTCGCATCGACTCCATTCTATTTAATTAAACTCCTTTATTTTTATTCCATTTCATCCCAATAGGATTCATTCTGTCACTTGGTTTACCTTCAATTCCATTTCACTTGAGCTCATCTCGTTTCGCTGCATTTTTTTCATTCCATTTCATTTCATTCCTATTCTGTTCTGTTAATTTAGGACACCTCATTGTTAGCCCGACTTTCTTCGATCTCTTCATGATTTCATACAATTACGCCTTTAATTTTATCATCACAATAAAATCCGAACCATGGGTCAAGGTTACGTTTTTCAATGCCAAAAAAAAGCAAATACAAGCTCTCACTCGATTCAGCCAACTCACCATTAACATAACAATTTTTATACTTACCTACACAGTTGGTTGGCATAATTAGTATTATTGTTACAACTATTTACATTTTCAACTTGTTTCTTAGCGTGAATTTTAATTTTCTTTTGTCAAAACAAGTTCATAATTCTCAAGAGCTTAAGTGAGCCGCAAGAGGAGCGCAAGTCAAAGCCAAGGTTGTGACAATGAAAATAGCGTCAAGTGAAAAACTTTTTGACTGACGTAGTTAATGAAATTTAATTGGAAAACTTTTGTCATTAAATGCTTATTTATACCTGCGTGCATACGTACAACAACATTGCAATATAAATAGATACATAAAAGTATACTTAAGTACTACTTACGTAGTCAGCATGCAGCAACTGCATTTGCCTCTCTTTTACTGTAGTTGCCAAGCATGAATTGCGCCTTCTGTAAATTTCAGTGGCTATTATTTTATTTTGCAAAAGGAGGCAACTCACCACGGCGAATTCAATTTCACAACAGTGAATCCACTTTGTCCACTTGGCTTTCATGTAATTATGAACTAGTGAAGCTACTGTAAAATAAGTTGCACAAGAATCCGCGGTATTCGGTACTGCGTAGTTGCTGAAGCAGGCAGTTGCGTCAAGTAAGGCTGCTAGTAAGGCTAGTAGTGATTTTGCGGCACATTGCCTTGCGAGTCACTTCTTCCTTTTTTGTTTTGGCTCGTTTACGCTAATTATAATTCTTTGTGTGTATGCCGCCGACAAATATGCTGATTTCTCCCTCTCGCCTGGCATTTTGCTTGTTTTAAAAACTATTTTGCTTGCAGGATGTGGCTTATGATTTATGTTAATCCAAGCTGAGTAAATTAACTGCGTAAATGTACAAAAAAAAAAAAATCGATGGAAATTTCTTATTTTCATACACAGCTTGGCTNGTGAAGCAGGCAGTTGCGTCAAGTAAGGCTGCTAGTAAGGCTAGTAGTGATTTTGCGGCACATTGCCTTGCTAATTATAATTCTTTGTGTGTATGCCGCCGACAAATATGCTGATTTCTCCCTCTCGCCTGGCATTTTGCTTGTTTTAAAAACTGTTTTGCTTGCAGGATGTGGCTTATGATTTATGTTAATCCAAGCTGAGTAAATTAACTGCGTAAATGTACAAAAAAAAAAAAAATCGATGGAAATTTCTTATTTTCATACACAGCTTGGCTTGAAGAAGTCCAAGTTAACTTTTGTATTGCTTTACTAACTCAGGCTTAGTTAGTGAAAAATCTGCATTTAAAAAATTGTATGCATTTACGAAAAAAAATGTACGAAAAAAAAATTAATAAACATTTACATTTTTCTTCCATTGCAGGAAATTTGCTCGTGATACTCGTGGTAACCCTATCGCGCCGCCTGCGTTCGANCTGCTTTACTAACTCAGGCTTAGTTAGTGAAAAATCTGCATTTAAAAAATTGTATGCATTTACGAAAAAAAATGTACGAAAAAAAAAATTAATAAACATTTACATTTTTCTTCCATTGCAGGAAATTTGCTCGTGATACTCGTGGTAACCCTATCGCGCCGCCTGCGTTCGATAACCAATTTTTTCTTGGCAAATTTGGCATTGGCTGATTTTTGTGTGGGGCTATTTTGTGTAATGCAAAATCTATCAATTTATCTTATAGATAGGTGAGTAGCCTAATATTTTAAGGCGAATTTGTTATTTGTTTTTAGTACAGAAAATTTAGATTGAAACAACTAATATTTAAGCACATAAATTATTATAATTATTATTATAATTTTGAAGTGTCTTCGAAAGAACAAAAAATAAAAAAGTTTGAAAAAAATGTTTGATCGAAATAGTATTTTATACAGCGAGTATAAAATCAAACCTAAATTTTATTTCCCACTCCATTCAAAATTCAGTGAATCGCATAAGCATTAGACTTGTTGAAAAAAAAGGATTTTTCCTTTTTGAAATATTTTCGGGACAGGGAAACTGAAGACTGTAATAAAAAGTCTATTGATTTTTTCATAAACTCACTTCTCCAAAAAATGTTAACGGTTAAATTCGAACACATAACAAATTTAACGGTTTTTTTTTTAATTTCNGTTTCCCACTCCATTCAAAATTCAGTGAATCGCATAAGCATTAGACTTGTTGAAAAAAAAAATATTTTTCCTTTGTGAAATATTTTCGGGACAGAGAAACTGAAGACTGTAATAAAAAGTCTATTGATTTTTTCATAAACTCACTTCTCCAAAAAATGTTCACGGTTAAATTCGAACACATAACAAATTTAACGGTTTTTTTTTTAATTTCCGGCAAAACGGCAAAACTAATCATTACTTATAATAAAATTTTTCTGGGAAATTTTATAATTTTTAATTTTCTTAGAAAAAGTGATTTCTATATACAGTCAACGTAAAAAATATGCATACCTTGATGTTTTGAGTATTTTTAACCGATTTCAAAAAAAGGAGGAGGTTATGAGTTCGTCGGAATATTTTTTTATTTTTATTTTATTTTTTTATTATTATTTTTATGTATGTTACCGCATAACTTTGGANATATATACAGTCAACGTAAAAAATATGCATACCTTGATGTTTTGAATATTTTTAACCGATTTCAAAAAAAGGAGGAGGTTATGAGTTCGTCGGAATATTTTTTTATTTTAATTTTATTTTTTTATTATTATTTTTATGTATGTTACCGCATAACTTTGGACCACGACCGATTTCGATAATTCGTTTTGCATCGGAAAGGTAGTGTCTCAGAGGTGGTCCCATTCTAATCTGGTTAAGATCCGATCAGTGGATCATGAGACATATGTATATGTATATATATATATATATTTTTTTTTTATATGAGCTAAAGTCGGTTTTTTTTTTGCTTAAAATTCCTTGTATTCAATTATATTTTCCATACCAAAGTTTTTTTTATTTTTCATTCAAAATCAAAAACCGCAAGAATCCGTGTTTTTTAATTTCATACAGAACTCGGGTGAACGCAAGAAATACCAAGAAATTTTCATCGACATTTTAAATTTATCAAATCGATTTTTAAAAAAACTGATTATGCAGTTTTGTAGCCCATTAAGCTCGAAATTTTTACGAATGTTTGTTGAATATTTTTTAAAGATTGCATCCACTTTTAAACTTTTTTTGTCAATCAATAAACTATACTTTTATACAAAATAATTAGAGTTAAATAATAAAAAAATGTATACCCAAATTTTGTCAATATGTGGGAGCAGAAATTGTAAAACGATCTTTTTCTCAAAGAAAAGCAAAAATTATAAAAGCTTTAATAAATATTGTATGATGTTCGGTGATAAATTCTAACCTTTTGCCTAAAATTAAAGAAGTTAAATTTGGTATACGTTCGAATTCAATCTTGAATAACTTTTGGAGCAGTGAATTTATGCAAAAATCAAAATAGAATTTTTGTACAGCCATCAAATTCGCTCAAAAATATATGTCGCGCGAACATATGTTGATTTAAGCCAGGGTCATACTATTGGGTATTTGCCCCAAATTTGTTGCAAATTGCATCCAAATCATGTACAAATATTTTTCTTTATCCCCGTCACTAAAAACAATTTGTTCAAATTTTTCAATAGAAATTCCAAAAAAAAAAAATTGTCATCCTAAATTTTTCATTCTGTACCATTAGCGCAATATAAAAAATGTACAAATTTGACTTTAAGCTAAGATCACATTACCAGCGCAATGGGCCGATTCACAGCGCATTTCATCTACTGATAGTGGTAGCAAACACAATTTTTCGAAATAAGCCGAAATTGTGCTGACTATAAGCAACCAAAATTAATATTGCTGTACCGATAATGTGAACACTCTTTTGCTCATTGACTCATTGAACAATCAAATTGTAAAAATTGCGAGCAAATTGGACAATTTGTTTATTGTTATTATTAATCAAGCACGTTAGTGTGATCATGTTGTCATGATTATCGTCGCGTATATAATTTGGCCGATATGGAAAAAATTGTTACACAATATGCGATAATAATGGGACCACTAAAAAAGTAGTTGTACCAATTATTTGAATATATATCAACCAAGTACAATGAAAATCGGTTATACTATTAAAAAAAAATTTCCTGTGTTATTTACTTTTATGGGAAATAGAAATTCGCGCTGAGCGACCACTAAATCCTAATGTTGAGGGCTACGCTTTTGGTAGGCGCCTTTTTCACATATTTTTCATATTAAAAAAAAAGAAGAAATAATCGATTCTTTTTAACCAGTCTAATAAACATATATGCGATATATTTGAATGCCCACATTATGTGATGATAATATCAAAAAGTCAATCCCGACTGAATAAACGAGCAATCCCAATGATTCCGTTTGCTTTTAAATATAGTATGTGCATGTTAATATGTAAATATATCCAATATCGCATGAGTGATTCAATATCATTAAATAATATAGTCACTCAAGTGAGAGAGACTCTCTGAACGACAATGATAATAAATGGCGCCAGCCGACGCAGTGTCGTAATGAGAAAAGCCACAAAGCGTTTACATAATTCATCATTAAATTTAAAACTTTTCGCTGAAATCGAACAAGCGGTTGCATATACTTTACTTACTTACGTAATACGTACATATATGTATTTACAGACTTAAGTATTAAGCATACCAAAGTATGCCGTACACACAAACGCACACATGCTTGTATTTACATATGTACATATGTCTGAATGTATGCGCCTGTTTGTATGCAATCATTTGCAAATATTTACCCGCCTGCTGTGCGCGTGTGTTTTGCATGCAAACATATGTATGGATGTATGTTTACTTGCGAAGGATTTGCACTCTGTTCGATGTTGTGCTTGCTTTTTCAACAGCTGGTTGCGTATTGCTGGCTGAGGCATTGATTGACTACGGATTTGTTTGCGGAAAAAAACCCGAAAACGAAAAATTAAAAATGAAAAATTAAAATAAAACAATACACATGCATATGCACATTAGAGTGGTCCAAAAACAGTAAAGTCGGAATTTTAATGCCGCCACCACTAGGATGGTTATATACCGAAAAAGTATAACCTAGGTCAGCCAAAACCCCTAGAAAATGCAATGAAGGGATAAATAAAAATCTTTAGTATTAAAAAATGGTTAAATAAACCATTGGGTATTATTAAAAAATGGTTAAATGAGCAATTGCGTATTATTATTGTGAGTTTTCGGATTTAAAAATATTTATTTTCAAGAATTCTATATCATTTCTGCGAAGAGTTGTTTTTTCCCGTATAAAATATAAGGGAAACTTTGAGCGCTTCGAGCACTCTCTAAATTTTTTTCGACTTCAACACAAAAAATAGAGGTATATTTTTCCGTATAGAACTTTACTGTTTTATGGACCACCCTAATGTACAAGCGTCAAGTAGAATTAAAGCCATGTTAGTGTTGAGTAACTATTTTTTTGTAATTTACTTTCTTTGCATACAATCTCTATTGGGCTCTTGTAATAATCGACTTTTGAAAGCTCCATTACATCAGTGTAAAGTTGACTTAGCAACAATGCAAAAAGTGCAAAGAAAAACTAAAAGTAGCTACATATGTACTGTGTGAAATGTTTTTCTTATTACACAGCGCAATCGGGTAGAGGTTAGGGAAATTGCATATGCTTTTAGCTTAAAATTTTTGATGAAAGCCACAACTGGCGTAAGTATGTATGCACAACACAAAGCTTTTTGAAATTTCATCCGCAAAACCTGGCGCGGTGCCGTGCTGCTTATTAAGGATTCGACATTGGAAACTTCATGACTTTTGTAGTTCAGCTGCTGAGGCGAGTTTTAGCACATAGTGCCCGAAAGTATGCAATATAGAACGCCCAAACGAAACAAGTAGGACTTATTAAAGCAAATAACAGCAAAACTTACTGCAGTTCCGTTCAGCTTGAATAAGTTGTTTAAGCAACCTTACAGACATTTGCATTCCACGTAAAGTTTTTAAGCGACTTAAAGGTACAGCTGCTTCTCTAGTAGAAAATCTGGGATTTAATTGTCAAAACAGATGTACAAACAAACATCTACAATTTCATTCGCTTTACTAACTGTCTGCGGACAATCTCCAAGGATTCAACACATAATTAATGCAGAATCCGCCACACGTACAACACATGCGCGTAAAACGCATATATGTACATACATATACGGGAGACATTGTATGGTTTTGTAATTTCCTTACTTACAACACATTATCAAGCCCATTAATTACATGTCATTGGTTGGTGGAATGAGAACATTTCTATGGAAATTCGTATGAAAATGACAAAATTTAAAAGCGACTTTGTGGTACGTGCGGTACCCATTGAGATGTTATAAAATTTTCCGAAAACATTATCATCAAAGCGTTCAACTATCTGTGAGGCTTAATTGTTGTCGTCAAGGCCATGATTTGTGTGTGGGATTTCCGCATGGATGTTGACGTGGAAGAGAGTTTACTGCTTGCTGCGTAGCATGCAAAATTTCATTAAATTGCAACAATTTTGTATCACAGATAAATTGTAAATTGTGTGAAAATGGATGGCCAAATTAGAGATGTGCTTGTTTGCATGTATGAGTATGCGATAATCTATTCTGGTTTTCTTTTGTAATAAGTAATTGCGTATGTCTTCAGCAAAGAACATAAATAGATAGTACGATAAAGGCAAAT